TTTGTTTAAACTTTGTTTTATAGAGAAATAATGTTTTGTTTAAATTTTGTTTTATAGAGAAATAATGTCTTGTTTAAACTTTGTTTATAGAGAAATAATGTTTTGTTTAAATGTTGTTTTATAGAGAAATACTGTTTTGTTTAAACTTTGTTTTATAGAGAAATAATGTTTTGTTTAAATGTTGTTTTATAGAGAAATAATGTTTTGTTTAAATGTTGTTTTATAGAGAAATAATGTCTTGTTTAAACTTTGTTTATAGAGAAATAATGTTTTGTTTAAATGTTGTTTTATAGAGAAATAATGTTTTGTTTAAATGTTGTTTTATAGAGAAATAATGTTTTGTCTAAATGTTTTTTTTATAGAGAAATACTGTTTTGTTTAAACTTTGTTTTATAGAGAAATAATGTTTTGTTTAAATGTTGTTTTATAGAGAAATAATGTTTTGTTTAAACTTTGTTGATAGAGAAATAATGTCTTGTTTAAACTTTGTTTTATAGAGAAACAATGTTTTGTTTAAGCTTTGTTTTATAGAGAAATAATGTTTTGTTTAAATTTTGTTTTATAGAGAAATAATATCTTGTTTAAATTCCCACATTTCATTTTCTGAACAGATGCTTCGAAGCTAGAGCAATGATGCAGTCTTAGTCTCATCAGCATTGTCATTAGTGCTAAGCTGACCTTATATTTGTCAGCCCAACAGGCACTTTTTAAATTTCATATTTTGTGTGTTGGACTAATTGGCACATTTTAATTTACCAATCGTAAAAGAGACAATTAGATGAAGCCTATTTTTTTTCACTAAACTGTCCTATAACACTGCAGTCTTAAAGTCGTAGTTTTAAATTGTTAATGAAATGACTGCACTTTGTCAGTGTTAATTTTTTATTGTGGAATGAGTCGTGGGTTTGCGCGCTGTGTTTACTGTAGGGCGAATGAGATGCCAACTGCATTATGTAGGCCTACTGTATCAATGAGCAGATGTGTGCTGATAAAGGTTGCATGTTGCTACGTAAACTGTACACAGGTCATAACCAAAAACTCGCATTTCTTTTTCCTTTCCGTTTTATTTGTCAATATTTGCATTGTTACACTTCAAAATGAAATTCAAATTGAAAAAAAAGAAAGTTTGAACAACAGATCACACAAACTTTTGAACAAATCACACAAACTATTTCTCTAAATCTGTCTATAATGTAACTAAATGCAGGCAGTTTAATTATAATGCAAGTTCAAGTATTCTAACAAAGCAAAGAAATCAAAGGATACATTACGGTAATATGGAGCAACCAACAGCAGAATATATGCAAACTAAGAATCCCTGTGTACCTGAACATCAACACAACTTCAACTATATTTACAGGCTATTTCTAATTGACTCATTTTAAAGTTATGGGTAACTAAATAATAATTCAACCAACAATAAAAATAAAATATTTATTTGCACCTATTACTTGTTTTATTGAAGCTATGCTGCAATTAGATACTCCATTTTTCATTGATCAACAGACTCCAAGACAAACTTGAAAATCCAAAATTTAAACAGCAGAAAAATTTCAGAGCTTCTGCTTTATAGTAGGCCTACTTACTCGAAGTTAAGATAATACTTGTATAATGGTATTTTATCTTCAACAAGTCACCACTGTGACAAGGCTGTCTTGTTGTGTGCTATACCCCTGGGACTGTAGGCTGTCTTGTTGTGTGTTATACCCCTGGGATTGTAGTCCTGAATTTAAACTCTACTGTCAACCCCTCTGCCTACCTAGAAAAGGTTTGTCTGGGACATACTAATCTTCATTGCTGAAGGAACATCGGAAATTCACAAGTCAAGTAATGTGATCCAGACTGTTATCATAGTGGTACCAGTTAAGATCATTGTCCATTGCCCTCCCCTGCATTTTGTACAAAATTTGGGATTAGAAGCAAAAAATTCAACTAGAGGCAAATATTAGGCAAGCCTTACTGTAAATAACTTCTGGTGAAGACTGAAACCTACCCTATGATCAGATTATGATGGTTCTGTGGAAAAAATGTCACTTTATGATAAATAGGTTTTTCAAAGTTAATTTGTAATTTTTAACTCTCTCTTGTGATAACAGAATAATGTTTGCCTGAAATTTTATGAACAAACAAAACTCCAAGCTGCAATAACAAACAATTGCTTTAACTTCTCAAAAACATTTAGTAACATAAGACCTGTGCTTAAACAATTACAATAAAAAAAAATAAATCGTTCCAACACCAAGTAACAACATATGTTTTGACCAACAAAAAAAAATAGTTACAATGCAAAATAGCAAACATAGCAAAGGAATATTACAGGTAGATTTTTAAAAAGCAGTAAATATTTTCTAATTAAGCAGGTGAAAGTTCTTAAAAAAGATCAGTGTTCATAACCTGAAAATGAATTATGCAATATGGATGTTAGTGTTCTCACAGTACATCCTTATAAACAACAAACACAATATAGAAAAGTGTTTTTAAACAAATGTTCACGTCCATAGATAAACTGTTACAAAAGAAAAATGAAAGACTCTTAAGGCAATAATAATAATGTACTGTGGAGGCGCACTGGTTGAGCAGTAAAGCACTTGGCTTCCGAACCGAGGTCCCAGAAACAAAACATGATGAAGACTTAGATTTTTAATTTCAGGATCTTTGGGTGCCTCTAACTCCACCCAGCTCTAATGGGTAACTGACATTAGTTGAAAAGTAAAAGCGGTTGGTCATTGTGCTGGCCACATGACACCCTTGTTAACAGTGGGCCACAGAAACAGATGACTTTTACAACTGCCCTATAGATCACTAAGTCTAAAAGGGGAACTTTACTTTTTTTACTTACTGGCTAGACCCATGGAAGACAGGGGAAAAGCAAGGTCAAAGATGAGCATAAACTCTTTTAGTAAATTTCTAATTCCATCCTGCAGAAACTTTGGACTGGAACATCATTGCAGAAGGAACATACAAAAACTTACAAGTGTTCTGGAATTGAAAACGATATTGCCTTACCTTTTTGCCTTAGCTTGTCAAAAGTGTTTTTCTTCAGGTTACATTTTTCTGGCTAGTGATAGTACATAAAGTTTAGATAAGGAGTTACATAGGTAAATTGTTTTACAAAGGAAGACCTCTCCAATGAGGGTAAACTTTTATACCTTAATTAACAAAAAAAAAGCTAGTCACTAAATTGGTAAAGTACACAACACAGTGTTGGTATATCTGTATTAGTAATTAATACAATAAACAAAGTAGGTCCTGGGGTTTTCACAAAATTCTGGAATAATGACTTAACCTGCACATTAAAATAGATTAAATTTTTTTTTTAAATTTTGAATGAATAGATAATAAAAAAAATACAAGAAGAAATGTGCAGTTCTCTTTGGGCAAGAGAGTAGGTTCTGTTGAGTGTGTCAGAGGAATAGAGGAATACTAAATGAATTGATTCTTGCATCCTTAGAGCAAGGATATATTGAGATGGTGTTTTCCTTGAAGTGAGCTCTAATAACCAATTAGAAATCAAGAGAAATATTTTTTTTAAATGCTTAAGATAAATGAAAAAAAAAAAAGAAGAAAAGAGCTTATCTAAAGGGAAGAATTCCACATTTAAAACTGAATATCTCAGTAATGTAGAAGTTATTTCCATTTTTAAATATTAAACAAAAGAATTAATTACCAATAATTAATTGTCTAATTGTTTAATTCTTTTTATTGATTGATGTTTTGTTAGGTACAGTAAAAAAAAATTTTAAGTTTGGATGTGGGAGAAATAACAAGTACAATTATCTAAGGGGACAAAACCCCAAATATTTAACCATATCTCAGAATACTGTTGCCGATATCAAACAAAATAACTAATTACCATTAGTTAATAGACTAAATCAGTGTTTCCCAAACATTTTCCTTAACGAAAATTGAGTATTTAGCGGAACACTGAATTTTTTTAAAGAGAGATTAATTTACGTTGTGGGCTAAGAGTTAAATATTCCGGTACTCAATCACATAACAGTGAGAACAAAATAAAGATCAAAGATGAACACAGAAAACAATACTAGATCTTCAATAAAGACAGAATCTGTCTAGGAAGGGTGACGATAAAGCATGCATAAATCTATGTCAGTATTGTTCAAACAAATATCTAGTTTTATGTTAGATATGACTTTTTTTTAACTTACAAATATGATCTGCATAGAACATGGCAATTGTCCTTGATTTCAAATATATTTTTAAAAATAACAAATACATAATGGCTTCAGACTTGTAATTTTAAAAAGATTTGATTTTTAAAAACTATTTTTATTGCTCTCTTATAATAAAGTTTTTTAAATTTTTAAACAAGAGTTACTGCAGAAATGTTACTACATTTAAGTAAGATTTAAAAAAATGAAGACTAATTAATTATTTGATTAAAAGTTTCATGCTATTAACAAATTAAAAAAAAAATTAACTTAGTAACTAACTACTCTAGAAAAAACAAATAAATATAAATATTTTTTATGGGAAATGAAACTATATAAGTTAAAGTATAAGATTCTTTTAATTAAACAAATTTCTTCTTCAATGCCATTAGATGCATACAACTGAAGCTAATTAATGTGTAAGTGTACAGGAATGTATATAATACCTCAATACTTAAGTAATTCAAAACCTAAAACTAAAAAACCTAAAACCGAAATTTAAAAAAATAATTTTAAACAAATATTGGATAATAAAAGTATTAAAACAGGGAAGAAAGTACAAATGAAATAAACTTGTCATTTGTCATCAAAATATTTTATTTTATTTAAGAGTAATATATATTTTACTGACAGTTCTTAACAAATTGAATAAACAACTTAATAATATAACATATAGATAGCTAATTATTAGCTGAATAATATTTTATTAAGTGTATAAATAAATAGACACAAGTCTACATTCGTATGGTGATTCTTCCTTTGTAAGAATGATTTCTAAAGTATATAGATGAATTTTTTGTTTTTTTAATAATTCATTGCCTCTTATTTTCCTTTTACTTCTTTTTTTCTTTTGCTATTCCCAGCTATCATAATGAAACAGTAATTACACACCAGTCTAGCATGCTCATGATAAAGGATCTACCTATCCACATATTGTACTTTGTGTGTTCAACATAGTCAAATGTTGTAAGCCAAATGAGGAGAAACTAAACTTCACAACTCTTCCTAGAATATAAGGAACAATAAAATTCAGTCAAAGTCTAGACCTGCAGTGTGGCATCATTTATAATGAGCCTTTTAAGGGACTCATTTTATTTGTATTTTAGATTTTAAAAAAGACATTTCAATATGAGTAGGGGAGATAGCTAACATTTTTTTTTCTTCTTATCTTATAAAATACAGACGTCACTTCAAAAAATAAGATGATTGCGTCCTATATGTTTTCCTAGGTCAATCTAGTCATGCATGTGAATCAATGACTTAAATTCTACCATGTCATTGGTTTTCCTGGCTAACTCTAGCAACCCATTTTCATGCTTTAATAGCACTAGGAAAGACGGAGTATTTGTACAAATTTGTCCTAGCATGTGCAACAAGAAATGTGCCTTTATACAATACTCTCTTAATGATTGCAGCGAGTTTCAAAAGCAACTATTCTACATTCAAAGTACATGCATGCATTGCCAGCTAAGGCTAGGTAATTTTTTATCCCTAACTTATGTTACAACCAGAGCAGTCAAAAGAGTGTCAAAACTTTGAAATTATAATGCCAGAAAGAAAAACATTTACTTAACCTGAGACACAGCGTCAGCAGAACATAGTAAGATGCTTTAGGAATTATGTACATATTAGTAGTGGAAACATTTTTTTTTTTCATAGTGCTATCTGAAAATAAATATTTGTAACCAAAAGAAAATGCTTAAAAAAAAAAATACTGTTACAAATTAAAGTTATACCGGTATATAATCAATCATAAATCAATAGCCAAAATTTATACAAAAATACATTACATACATATGCCTTATTTAATTTTAGTTTTTTTTGCTGTATTTTTTATATTCATACTCTAAAGGCCATTAATATCTTGTTTTTTTTTTATATTATTAAATATTAGCATTAAAGAAACTTAAAAAAAAAAATTATATTTTAGCTATAATTTTTATATGACAAGATTGACCCAAACGTCATCTACAATTCTTTTAAATCTTAATGGGAAAGAACCTTAAAGAATATAGAAAAACTAGACAACCAAAAACAAAACAAAAATGAAGATAAATGTAATAAGTAGCCCATTGCACAAACAATAAATAGTCCATAAAACAAAATAGACAAATGTTTTAGCTGCTTTAAGTTGTGAATGATTAATTCAAATCATTGAGAAATGTTTCAAACTATGGCACTTGTATCACAGGAAACTGGATTCATGTAAAAACAATAAAGAGCATTATACTACTAATCTTGTAAAGGCTGTAATGTTAATAGAATACATAAGGGTATTGTATTATTGTGATTGAATCTTTTTCCTTTATTACACTTACAAATAACATAAGCTCAGAGTGACCAATAACAAATTAGTGCAAGTGTACTGAACTTCAAGAAATAAAAGCTTACAAATCACAATAGATGGATGGCTTGAAATAGCTCAATCACAGAGTTACTGATAATACACCACTGTTTGATGGTGAATAATTGGTGCATCACCTAATAAATGAGATAATCATCTACGAATTATTAGATAGGTTATTTTGAGATCATTTCAAGGTAAAGGAAAAATTTAGAATTATTAATAGCCCACCCAAATGTTTATACAAATTTCTCAAGAAGACATGAACCAATAAAAAAAAAGTGCTTTGTATTTAAATTATTATTTGAAAAAAAAAAGGTAATGGGTATGTTATTACATTCTTATTCATAAACTTTGAAAAATGATTTAGGCTTTTTGCAAATGCAATCAGTCATTCAGAGAATTAGTCTTCATTTGTAACAATCAAATGATCCTGAATACACGAATTATGCAAGGATAGCTCTATTAAGAGCTTCTAAGTCCAAACAATTGACTATGATTATAGTAATACACCCAAAAACTTGCAAAGCAAACACTATTTGACAGATTCAAATATTCACCCCACAACCTTCTCCACAAAAATGTTCCTAGGAGGTCAAACAAACTTTAAATTGAACCACTGTTTATAAATATCCAAAAGCTGGAGCCAATTATTCCACAAAATCAGAAATATCACTCTTGAATTAGCCAGTAAGAATGTTTAAAACTTCTGAAAAATTCTCATGTTTTCTTTGAATCATCTTGGAAATAAGGCAACTTCCTTAACCAATGTTTGAGAATATCAAATGTTGTAAAGCTGACCCCTACAGCAATGGGTCCTTTGATCCAGTTCATGGAGAGACCTTTATACATGCCACGTATAAAGCCTTCCTCTTTAATTATACTTCTGGTGGTGTTCATGATAGATGTGTAGTCATGAATATGACCTGTAATACCTGAACATAGAAAAAAATATATTCCTTATGCTTGAGTTGAATAAAATCAGTGTGGGATAATTAGATCCAATAGATTTGTAACACAACCATAAAAACATGGAAGACTGTCACATGCAGGCCTGCAACAAATAGAATTCTAGTTCTGGTAGGACCCCTTCAAGTTTTTTTTTTTTTTGCATCTTTATATGTATTTGAAGGTTTTCAGTATGTGGGGGAAGCAGATGGGTTTACAAGTATCTAGTAGTCTGGGGCACAATTATTCTGGTGGCAAACCTGTTGCATGGTATGCATTCTAGACTATTGCAAGGATGGCATTGAGTTCAAACCCCAACTCATCAAAATCTTTTGCTGTCCTGCAGGAGGTTTGGGCTAGGTTGTTATAATCTTTATTTCTGAAGAATTATAAGTCATCACACAACAAACATTATGTGTTTACATTCAAATTAAGATCAATGAAGGTATGACCCTTCTTTGAATTCTTTAGTGACCAACTTTTGCACATCTAATAATTTTTAAATCTTTTTCTACATAAATTTATTAAATTTTTTAAAAAACGGAAGCAATATGGTTAACTATTATTTTATTTGTTGAATTCAAATGTCAAATAAATTGTGTAATTCTATTAACTTTTATATATTCAATATCAGTTGCAAACATTTTTTTATGCAAATACAAACTGAGTAATTATTTTTAAAAGCATTGCAAATAACTTGTCTAGAGCTTAATACTAATGATAATAAACCATGATAAAACCTTTGGAATATATATGTCATTCAAAGTATATATTTCATTCAATCAAAATCTAGATACCATCTTAAACTACTGTGTCCAGACTACAATATTTTCAGTGATGAGACTAAATATAATACAAGTGTAACTTATATATTCAAATAAAATTAGATGCTAATGTTTAAGCTATGTATAACTGATAATAAATTATTAACGATAATTGATAATTTAATAAGAATTGGTAACTAAATATATTTAAAAGTTTTACTAACATATAAAACAACCTTTCACAATTTCATTAACTTTTTTTCAAAATGAAGAAATGTGTTAAAATAAAATATAATTTTAAAAAAAACAACTAACCAGCAGTTTGCATTCGCCTCCTAACAATATCTAAAGGATAGGATGCTGACTGACCAACCAGACCAGCAATTGCACCAAACAACATTCTCTCTATTGGAGTGGGATCCCTTCCAAGATGAGTTTCTGTGTGATAGAAAACAAAATGAGTCATACTCTTTTTAAATACTGATGACAATAATAGGATATAATATAAATAGAAAGTTTACATTTTTGGACTGGAGAAAGTTACTGACTACAGCCTACTTTTAAAAAATATTAACAAAAGTACAGCCTACCTCTAAAAAAAACAAAAGTACAGTCTACCTCTAAAAGATACTAACAAAAGTCCAGCCACCTCTAAAAGATGCTAACAAAAGTTTGGAAAAATAAATTCTATTGGTAATGTTGAAGGTCAAACAATAAGCTTATAAAAAGAAGGAAAGAGAATCTAGCCAATAACTTGACCTGACTGCTGAGCATCAGGAAGGTTTAAAACATTTTTGTTTAACTTTGTTGGTACCTTTCACAAACCTTACGATGCTTATCTGTTTCTATAGCTGATGGTTAACAAGAGAATTATGTGGCCAACACAATAACCAACCACTTTACTTCCCAAGATATTTCTTAGGAGTTGGGTGGACTCAGGGGCATCCTAAAAATTCCAATCTTTGCTAGGATTTGAACAAGAAACTCCTCAGTTTGTAAGCTGAATGCTTTATTATTTAGTCAACAGACTCCTTACTATGTTGAGTATTTACACAATAGTTAAAGAGACAGAAATAGGGAAAAAAGTAATCAAAGAAGAAAAACAAAAAAATAACAAATGCTTTTGAAAAAAAAAACCCAGCTTATACGAAGTGTAATTGTATCCATTAGTTTGGGTCAGTTAAGTAATTAAATTTGTAATTGATCTAGACCAACAACAATAAATCTTTGCGATTTTTACAAATAGTTTATGTTTAGCGCTATTTCAGGCTTTTAGCTTTCTCAATACGCTATGATACTTTCACTTATCTGGATCAGTTGAGAATGGTTTGGGGGGGGGGGGGGGGGGGGAAGAAAAAATATCTGGGTGGATCTTACTGCAATTGGTTTTTAAAAGCATTTAAAAAAAAAAAAAAAAAAAAAAAGGGAACGACCTGAATTAGAACTTGTGGCTCACATGTCTCTGCTAGTGAGGTACTTACGACTAGAGAAGATTACATAGTTATATATTGTTTGTTTCAATTTAGAGTGGCAACCTATAAAGGTGACTAATTCAGCTTATACCACCACTCAAGTTACGTACAACTTCTTTCCCTTGTTCAAGATACCAATCAAATTAATTAACTACCAATAGTCAATTAGCTGATTGGTAAATTTTTTTTTTCATTCTTGTGTTGACAGGTAAATAAATAATTGCAAAATTTCAGCTTGATCCGAGATTGGGTGTGGGAGAAATAATGTCTACAAACTTTTTACCAGACAGAGTGAATTGATATAAGCTTTCTAATTACAAAAATAAAATTAGTAATTATAACTTAACATGAAGGTCTGGATTGTTTAATAATTGTTTTACCAGCATGGATTTTTTTCAAGGTTTCATATGTGAAGAAACTAGAACCAGAGTAGGGGATGGATCCCAACATGGTGGGTGTGAATCCTCTGTAGATGGATCTGAAACCTTCCTCTCGAATCATTTTCATAAACACCTGACCAATATGGCTGTAACTGTATAGTTATAAAAAGCAAAAACAACATTTCATCAATAATTGTAATTAAAACAATGTTATGATGTTAATATTTTCATAAGTTAGATGGGGAAGACTAAAGTTTGCGGGAGGTATTTGTCTTGTCTTGGTAAAGAACACAATTCCTCTTTACTTTACAAACAAAA